TTGTAAATTTGAAGTATAGTGAAGAGGGAGCATAAGGGCCACCTGTACATCATTCTATTGCCAAAAATCAGTTGGCGCTTCATGCCTGAGAGAGAAGTCGCTGCTTCGAAAGGCTCTTATGAGTATTTTTTGCAGTGCTTCTAAAAAGTAAAGCGCTCGAAATAAAGTGTAGAAGTGCAATAGAATTGGAGTTAATGATAGAGGGGTCTGGCGGATAGCGTTCTTTATGTTCAGCACTAGTGGAGGCTTATAAAAATTCAGCGGTCTGAGATTTAGGTGTATAGGGGTCTTACTAGAAGTCAGAAATAGGGATTGTAAAACGGTGATTGCAAAGTACTTAAGGTGAAGAACAAAATATCGAGAAGGAAACATGTGACAAGAACTCATTTGTGGGATGAGTTTTAATGTGAAGAAGCGAGTGCTCGCTTTAGAAAAGGCAGACGTCTCATCAACAGTAACATTATATGTATAGTAAAAGTTGATGGAGTCTGTTTCAAAGTATGGTTATTCAGTAATTCAGTCAAACTTCTTCGTCGATTTTTTCCAGTCGCTATCTGTTGAATAGGTCACTTTTCAGTTGGTTAGTGAACTGAACGCTGAAGAGGCCTTGAAATCAATTCTTGGACCAAAGCAGTCTGTATTGGTAAGAGAAGCTTCTCGTCATATCGTTTTTCCGAAATATGGTATGCTTATCAGGGAAAGTTGCAGACTCCTAAAAGACGACGTCCTATAGCTGGAATTAGGGCCAGCGTATCTGGTGGCGTTATACCAGAACACTCAACACGAATAACAATAAGTGGTGATGGAAAGATGCGTTTCAAATTCCGGAAAGCTGACATCAGAGGTGATTTCCGTCTCACTTTTTCCCGGTGTTTCATCATACCGATAAACCATTTATAGGAGGTGTTGCTGGAATGGCAGGATATCCCAGGTATCTCGAATACGTGAAGAAATCAAATGAACAGTGGAACGAGGAAGTCTCGGCTTTGCCCTATTGTTCACACCTGAGTGACATTAAGCCTTCCGTTTGGAAACCGACATCGAACTCGTCAGTTGTTGCATAACTGCTTTTTTCTGTGTTTCTTTTGATCCGGTTTCCAAGACGCATTCCATGATAATCTGATGGTCGGAAAATGGCAACGACTGTGCTTCCGCAATGGCACCAGTGCACGTCGTACGATGAAAGTCCCTAGCGAGGGGGTCGTATTTCGTCGCGGAAGGGAATGGATGGGGGTGCTAACGCATTCGGTTTTGAAAAAAAGATGGTTCCCGTTGTTGTCTTTCCTCGTTTTTTATTGTTTCAAGTGCGCTATGCCCCCCCCCCCCTCGACGGCAGTTCTTGGGAAAAGTTGAAGCTTGGCAACTGAGAAAAATGCATAGGAAGTTGGAAGAAGTGGGGAGGATCGCACTAGAGGTGGAACCTGTGGGAAGTTGGGGGGGGGGTGGGGGTTGTGATCCCCAAGAAGTTTTGAATCTTGCGGAATCCCCCACCCTCCAACGGCAGGACGTAGTCCCTTAGGTACTCATCCTTACCCTAACAAAACTAAAAGTGGTTTGATGAGAAAGGTAGTGTGATTTTAGGTCTCCGCCATCCATACAATCGACAGATGGTCATCTGAGTAGTCTCGTTTACTGAAAGTTCTAACAGCTATCACAAACCCTCTCTCACACGGAATTTTTCGAAGATCGTTTCTTTATCACAACTAATTATCTTTTAGGACACATCTACCCAATTCAAACAAGGAATCGGTTGGCATCCGCATGTTTGAGCAACAGCGACACGTGGTAAGTACTCTTGCTTCCATTACATTTTATCACTCAATTCTTTCCTCACCAAATTTTGGAGCGAATCATTACGTAGCTTTTTCTTCTTGGAAAGAGTAAATTCGTCATTCTGCTGGGTAATTATCAAGGAGGGACCCGCAGTTTAATGGTGGCTTTACTTTCTGAACCTTTTAAATCCGCTAATATTACAGGACCAGCAGGAAATCCCCGAGTCATGTCGGCGGTTGCGAACTTTCAGCACAATGGAGTTATCTAATGAGAGAAATGACTCTGTCACGGTTGCGTACTGTGGAGGACCAATAAACGCTATTCGAGTAGCTCCGAATGCAATGCCAAGTGGTAATGTAATGATTTTGTCGGTTCGAGCTTTCTTTATGTTGCTCATTTTCGCAAAATAATTTTTTACAGGTGAAGAAGTCGTGACTGTCGTCACGTATCCTTGCGAGACAACTTTGGTAGGGAAGGATATGAGGAGAGCAGACACTCTCGTTCAGTTTTGGTTGCATAGCAGTAATGAGCAAGGTTCGGTTGACAGTTGGCCAACAAGCTAACTCGCACTATAATCCGCCATTTTTTATTGACTGCAGGGTTTCAGCCTCAAACAGTATCGTACCATGGTTTATATTAAAATCCAACTACGGTCTCGCGTTCGACGTATGCTGGTTGGATAGGCCGCGATTGTCTCCTGACGACACATTGTTAGGCTATTTTGCAGTGAGTACTGCGCAAGGCGTAGTGCTTTATCTATAGGTTAGAGTTTTGATTATTTTGAGAGGCAAAACCCGTGATTGCATATTGTCAACAGTTCAGTAAAAAAACCGATAGTCGACTGCGCATGCAAAAAAAGGAAAAATGTGCTAAATAGGACCTGGCAGCCTGCTTGTTCGAGTTCTTCGTACCTATTCGCAGTAAGCCACCCCTCTGTCTCACTCAATTTCCTTCGCGCCATCCAATGCTAATACCAGGGAGAAAAGAACAAACGAAATACTCGATGTCAAAGCTGAACTCGTGACAGAAGTTTCCTTGAGGTTCGCTGGGCAGGACAACTAGGCAGGCGTCAGAACTGCCACTTGTGAGGGCCGCAGCGGTTTTGTTGCGCACTGCAAAGGCGCGAAAGTGGGATAATCTCAGAGACTGAGCACTAGACTACTAGCACATGAAAGGAGACCTTCCTAATGCTTAGCTTCGAGGGCTTCACAAGGATATAGTCGTTTTCTATGCTTTCTTGCGACTTCCCCGCCGCCGCACACTGTCTTCGCGTTGTTCGGTGCCCACCCTGAATTGAAGAAGAAATAGCTGTTCCTTATTTCAGGATAGATACAAACACTGTCCCATCAAAGTCCCGCTCGCAAGGTGTTCCAGTAGTCAGCCCAGAACCTGGCCTTATCCTAAGGCAGCCGAAGAATGTATTCCTGGATAAACCTGAAGATGAGGTAAAGTTGATTCCTCATTCAGACTTTATTTGGCCTATGTAATAAACCAGTTCCATCCTCATCCGATTCACTTTTAATGCGCCAGCGAGTTCAGATATTCCGAGCAGCGGCCGTTCTCCCACCGTATTTGCTCTCACATGGAGGCGGCAAGTGGGGCACGTGGCATCAATATATGTTGTGTGAATGCGGCGGGTAGGAGCTATTATAACGGGAATTTTCATTTTCAGAGCTCTGCTCAATCGTGAATGATTCCTTCATAGTTGGTGCCGCGTTCAGTCTGGGATCTACAACGTTCTATTGATACCCCGCAAGTTCTTCTCGATTCTACATGGTCATCACCAGTGACAGCAGCTTCATTCATTGGCACATATGATGGTCAGGAGCAAGATTTTGCCAAAGAAACGAATTTCATACAATTCGCTAGAAAATACTGTGCTCAACCCATTCACCATGTTTGAACCGAATTGTTCTAGTGGCTCTGGCATTTCGTGAGCGCCTAGTTCGGTATAGCGGAGTGTCCGTTCGTAGCGACATGCTTGCACTGGAGGAAAACGCCGACGCAGCTGCAGTGGAAATATATTTTTAAGGTTCATGATTGGTAGGATGATTCTCGCTTGAGATACCAAGTCGTAATGGTAGATGTCTTTTGTGGGGCTAGTTCGCAGCGTCCGTGGTAATGGCGATCGCCCCACGAACCCATCTTCACGATACTTGTAAACGCAAAGTCTCCGCTCTTCCTTTTGCCTTCCTCCTTCCCTTGCCAGCTCGCACGCCCTCCTTTTTTCTTCTCCCTCCGACTGCAGCTCAGTAGATGAGATGAAAAAAACCTCTTAACACTTGCAGAGAGAGCATATTCGGCGGGCAGAAGACATTTGACTTCGAAAAGCAGCTGTATTCCTGGTGTTTTTTGCACTAATCACCCGACGTGCTTGGCGTCAAATCTGTTGTGTCATCTCAGAATGTGTCCTGTACCTTTAAGTTGACTATTTATTTTATCGCAAGAGTGCTGAGTTGTGGGCAAAAGTCCGACCACGGCCGGCATTCAAACCCTCTTCTTCCACTTTCTATGCGGTTGCTCTTACCCTCTCACTCAGAGGCTATTTGTGCCATTGCCTTCGAGCGCTCACACGTTTTGAGGATGATGAACGCGGTTAGCCGATTCGGCACAGTGAAGCCACAAGGGCTGAAGGTTTTTTACATGTTCTAAAATTGTGGTTGTTTGATAACTGCTGTTTAACATCGCCGTGTGCGATTCGAAAGTTATCGTAAGACTGCTAAGTTGTGGGCAAATTCAGACCACGAGCGGGATTGGAACCCGCACCTTTCGTTTTCCGGTTGCATTCCTTAATAAACTACTAGGTCACGGCCGTACTCTCTCAGGTGAATTGCTGTCGTGCCATTGCCTTTGAGGCACTTACATCGTTTCAACCGTGGCACGTTCACTGTTTTATCTTAATTTATGTTGTCATGACATACCTAATGTGAAGTGCTCTCTCTCGAGTCTTCTAGCTCAGTATGTCCGCTTGAACGCGGCTGCCTCTAGGATGTTCTGAACTGCATCTCTTATGATTTTTAGTTGAATGTTCAAGGTTTAGTGCAAGACATCCGAGTCTCGATATAGATATATAGGAGACAGACCGGCATAGTATTTTTCCTGTTAGCTGACTTGACACATGCAGCACTGCCACCCTATGTCATTTAGGCAACGTTCAGACTTCGCGACGGCCGTGTTTCGGTCGCGAAGTCTGAACCTGCCTTAGGTCCCGTTGCCAGCGCCGCGCGCGGAGCACCACTTGTAACGCCTCTTTCACTGCCGCAGCCTCAGTTCTGATCTGCTGAACTACAGCTGAACATCCTAATATCTTATCGCAAACACTTCTATACAATTATGGTTCTCAGTGCGACTCTTATTCATCTCTTTGTTTCTTTTGTACAACTTTATTTACATAGTATTCTGCTTATATAACGGTGGTCTTCTGGGTTCTACCTTTCCAAGCAGTTAGGATAAGAAGTTGCTAAGTATCAGAAGCAGGAACAACCCTGTATTTTAGGATCTCGTGTGACATCTCAACCGCGGTTGTTCTGCGGATTCTTCGCTTTTCAGTCGGAGTACTTTGCCACTGGGGATGTACCAACCAATGGTGTCAGCTTCATATGCACTGAAACAAAGTCGGGTGGCTATTTTGTTGTGCCTTTAGGTAACAGGTAGGTTCGGAACTTCTCTCTTAATTTGGCTGCGAAAAATGGTTGCGTTACCATTGTAGACATGGTCTGATGACCTGGGATGTTGCCACAAGTGCCGTGAATGCAACGGTCGCCAGTTGTGGAGTGGACGGAAGGGTGTGTGTTGAGTATTGCAGTATTCAAAACTTCTTTTATCTTTTATATTTTACTATTGAACAATAGAAGTGGATTCCTTCAGCTATTGTTGTCATCCAATGGACGTCTCGTCACATATGCGAGCCCTTGTGATTATGGGTTCTCGCTTATGAAGTCGTCACTCACTCTGATTAGGTACGTTCTTGGAGTTTCTTCTTTACCCTGAGTCGGGAATTCTTGGGGATCGTTTTCAGGAGAAGGGTGAGCGAACCTGAAACTGTGAACATAGGAACGTTGTTTTCCAAGATGGATGTACCTGATGACAACCACGAGCATGCTGCAGGGAAAGATGCTCCAGTGCGGCGAGCGTGCTCATGTTACACGACTCATGAAGAAACGCTACAACATTTATGGCTCGACGTATCTCTGGCTTCTGATCCCTGTGAGTGGGAGTTCCTTCTATTGCTTCACTGAAATGGCGTCAAAAGGTCTGCTCCAGGCAGAAACAAGATATATAAATTATATAAATTTTTGTTTGGATACACATGCAGCAGCGAAGGAGAGAACTTCAACTTCGATGAATTCAAAAATAGCGTTTTTGACCATTCTGGCTCTTTTACTTCAAGCCAAAACGAGTAGGAGTATTATCCAATAATTTAATGAAGTATCATAGCGATATTAACACCTCATTAAAGCGGAGGTGGTATGTGCTTAGCGGCACTACTCACAAATTTCGCGCGTCGTTCAAGGATCAAATCGTGAATGTGACCTGGAACTAGCCTAGCCGAGCTTCCCATCCCTGTGTGCAAGACAAGTTGAACGGTACCCGATTCCTCTGGAAGGATCAAAACATTGGGTTGTATATTGGCAAGCCTCCGGAATCATGCGTAGGCCATGTTGATCCTGGAGCTTGACTTCCCAGTCGCCGCATCGCAGAACGAGTGGATTTGAGTGATAAAGTTGACTCGCAGCGCCGTTGCATGTAGAGTGCCTAGGGTCCTGTTGCGGATGCTGCGCATGTAATCCCCCCCCTCTTGCAGCGTCTATTTCGCCGCGACTGAGAAGTAACAGGCTCAGCACAATACTGAGCACCAGAAAAGGCATAGTATGGACTGGTTACTCAATCCCACTTTTGCGAAATGCGACACGCAATCGAATTTTGCTACAAGAATCTTCGTGTGATAATTGGATGCGATGTGAGTCTAGTTAGAAACTTGGCAGAGGCGATTACACACCAGTGCTCTCATCCTCTCACGACGAATCTGGTACCAGTTTACGTCCTCCCGAAGGGAACAGCCCGTTGGCTTGATCTTGGTTGGGAGACCGAATACGCTTGAACTCCGGACTGCGCGCGTGGTAAGGTAGCGTCCCACTTACCCACACGTCCGGCGCTTTACACAAACACGCCTCGAGTCGCCCACATGGCCCAGCCGGTCGGGTCGTATGTGAGATTGACAATAATCACAGAACGCAAATAGTCATTTCGTAAACTGTACAGTTTCCTGAGTGGAAGTCGGAATACCGAGAGGCCCGCTCAGGCGAAACGTACCGCAGCTCAGTGGGAGTTTTGATTCCATTTTTTGGTGCAGACAGAGACTTTGCGCCTTTCTGCGACAGCAACCTATGGTGGTTGAATCTTCCATTATAGTAATGAGACGTTTTTCTGAAATACTGGCAACGGGGTCGTTGGCGGTAAGCTAATCTCATTGAGCTCATAGAATGAGAGGCCAGGCATATCCGTTTTCTTTCCCTTTTCCTTCCACTTCCTTTATTACGCTCTTCAGCATTTTGTTCTTCGCAGAGTCCTACAGACATCAAAATTGAATCCAAGTGTTAGCGTGGCAGCGGGGCGCCTATATTCCTCACCCTTCTGCCACGACAACGATCTCATTCACATTATTTCATTTTGTGGGATCTTTTTTTCAAGCGCATTCAATCTGTGAAGACAAAATATTCATGTACCATCACAAAACGCGGAGGTGGTGTAGAACAAGCTGACGTATCTTGACGGACAGCACGGGCGGGTCAGATCTATGGAGGCAAACCAGGCCTACCCGGACAATTGTATTGGAACGGACCTTTGAGTTTGGGAAGATAAGAACACTGACTTATACATTGGCTAGCCCGTGCGAGTCTACGTATGGGCCACTACGACACTGAATAGAGAAATGCGCGCGTATCTCAAAAAGGCGTTCGATCAACGTGGATGCTTTACCCTGTACCCTTAACAAAATCCAAAAATAACTATTAAAAAGTTTACATTTAATTCAAGTTTCGCGCAACATGTTCGCATTTACCAAATGACAAGCACGGGTTTTCGATCTAGGGCAGGTAGTCCGCTAATTTCGAACATTCATGGCGTACAAAAAAAATTACGTGGGGAGTATACAAAGTGCTCGTCCCTCAAATGAGTGGCAATTGGTTGATGACGACTTGTTAGTTGTCATTTCTGTGCATCGCCCACGATGAGGAATCCAAAGCCGTTGGCGAGTGATTCATTGCTGATTTAGTCTCAATAATGCAGTCTGCGTTTTCGAAACAATCTTTCCGTGCATGTCTCATAGTTCGTATTCTGGGAATAGCGCATTGTGACGTCGGAACTACAGGAATTGAATGTTACATTGAGCAGCACCAAAGAGAGACAAAGTTCGTCATGTTTAGTCGCCCTAAAATATTGTTTTCTGTGAACTTCTGTAGTAGCAAGTGAAAGGCTTGTTGTATAAATGCCAAGTTGAATTGACCAAGCGGTACTGAGCAGGATATCTGAGTGCAGGTCGGCCGCGAAAGGACGAGGAGACACTCTGAAGTATTCGGCGCAATACTGAGATCTGCGATGCGAAACCCTTTTTTCCACAAAGAGTAGTCCCCGTGCTTCTTCCCCCGTAAGGTCAAGTAAAAATGCCCATCTCTGTTCCCTTTTAATGCCCTCTTTGCTGACTTACGCCCACTTTCTTTCACAAGGAATAAAACTTTTGCCAGCTGGCGTGGCTGGAATCAGGTAAAGGTAAAGTCTACCTGAAAGAGGTATTCGTTTTATAGAAGAGTACGTATCTGGTTTGTAACATGCTATTCTTGAATGTAGTTATGCATCTAGGCTTTAGACTGCTTCATACTTGGTGAATTCGCCAACCGGTTGTAAAGTTCAATCTCCAAAGCGTTTTTCCTACTTCTTCCTGTGCTGGAGGCGAATTTGAACATAGCTTTAACGATTTTTCCCATTCCTGGTGTGGTGTACATAAGGCTTAGATTGCGTGGTTAGCTGTAGGGGAATTCATCTAACCAGGGAGGTCGTTCAGGACGTGGCGCGCTTTTTGAAAACGGTTTTTTGCATTGTGTAGGGGCACGTTCATGGACTACCAAACTGACGTTCATTTTTCCTAAATGGCTCTTTGAATACCAAAAAAGGAGTGAAGAA